TCAGACTGGGCAGCTCCCTGCCGTCCTCCACACTGATTGGCTGAACCTCTGGAGGCTCACAGTACAGGTGAGTGCTGTCCAGAGTCTTCACCTGACACTGCTGGTCCCCGAGCCGAGCCGTGACCTCCTGCCGTGACATGGCTCTGGTCAGGTCCAGGCCCTGAGGGAGAGCACCGGGACAGAAGGTCAGATGGGTTGTCATGTCCATCGGATCAGAACGTCTGAGTCGACTACTTTACCTCCACGGCGATGACTCCTCCAGGTTTGAACCGATACGGAGCATCTGGAGCTTCTCGGTTCAGAGGGAAGAACTCCGGGTTTGGATAGTAGGTGAAGCTTTTACCCTGACAGACAGACAGACAGACAGACAGACAGACAGATGTTCATACGGGGTTTCTTCCTGTCATGAGGCTCAGGTGTGATTCCAGGTGTTTGCATCATGTTTACTGATTATTGTGTTTCTGCTCACATTCAGTCAAACTGACTTTAAAGCAGGAGAAAGTCTGAGTCGACAGACAAACGACAGACAGACATGCAGACAGACAGACAGACAGACAGACAGACAGACAGACAGACAGACAGACAGACAGACAGACAGACGGACAGACAGACGGACAGACAGGGGGACCTGCTGCTTGATGTACCTTGATGCTCTCATAGTGGACTCTGACGTTGTCCAGCTGGAACCATATGCCTTTAACTTTGACGTCGGGGGACACGGTGGGGGAGGGACAGGTCATCTGAGAGGACGACTGGACAGAGCAGCGCTCCGACACCTGAGAGACAGACAGGTGAGGACAGACCGACAGGTGAGGACAGGTACAGAGACTTGCTGATCAATCTTCAGTAAGCAGAGCTCGTCTTTGATTGACGTCTGTCTCACTGTTGTCATGGTGCTGTTGAAGACCAGCTGCTGCTTGGCGGTGAGCAGAGCCAATCGTCTCCTCCGTTTCACTCTCTGGACCTCCACAGGCTCCACCCACACGGATATGATTGGCTGCTGCACCACGTCCAGGTTCCTGCCCGTCACCATGATGATGCGGCCGCCACTGAGGACAGGAAGACAACACCATATTAGGACGTACAGCTGTGAGACGCTCGCTGACTCGTAATTGGTGATTGGTTCTTACGCGTAGAAGCTCTCTGCTGGCGCCGCGTCGGTGATGATGGGGTCGTCAAGGTAACGGAAGGAGACGTCTGGGACGGTCCGCTCAGCTTTACCAAAGAAAACACGAACCGGGGCGCCACCGGTCCGATTACTGGGACCAGTTCGACACTCCAGCTGGGTGTCATTCACCTCGTCCACACTGAGACAATGAAGTAAAACAAGTTGCAGTCAGAGTGACGACAGCAGTATTATCGGTAGTAGTACTAACGGCGTGAGCAGTACCAGTACTCACATGTAGCAAGGCTGGGAGCCCACGAAGGCACTCAGGTCAGACGTTTGTCCTGTCAACAGCTGTCGGCCTCGGATGGTCAGTCTGGTTCCTCCAGAAACTGGACCTTTATCAGGAACCAGGTCCAGCAGCTGAGGGTCCTGAACAGATCGATCAGATTGATCAGCAGTTCGATCAGACTGATCAGTGAGTTAATGGAGGCTGAAGCAAAGTCACGTTCTATTGTCACTCTTTCTCAGAACCGGTTTAAAGAACTTCAGGGTTCTTTTGGTTGGATCCACGTTGGTCTACATATGTTTTTAGGACTGGGTCTTACCTGATACGTGAACGTCTGCATTGACCTCCCAGGTGGAGTTGTTCCCACGGTAACCAGGACTGGCCCCTCCTTCTGCTTCCCACTGGGCTGCAGCTCACACACAACCCTGACACACACACACACACACACACACACACACACACACACACACAGTGAGTCATGTGTTGTGGTCACCTGATCAATAGGACACGCCTCCTGCTGATGTGAGGTGCTCACCTGGTGGAGATCAGGTATCCTTCAGGTTGAGGCAGACACTGGACACCTGCCACTGTGACTCCGCCCACCACGTCCTCGTACCTCATGCCCAGGTTCGACCCCGTGATTGTCACCAGGACTCCGCCCTCCAAAGGACCGGAGACAGGCAACACCTGTGAAAGGTGGACAGTAAGAACATTTCCACAGAAACAGAACGTGTGCAGACAGACAGAACGCTTCCATGGTAACAGGATGGACAGACTGACACAGTTGAAACCAGAAGTTTACGTCCACTGTATAAAAAGACATCAAACCGTTTCTTTCTCACCATCTGACACTAAATCAGACCAAACGTTTCCTGTTTCAGCTCAGTCAGGATCACCAGCATTAG